TCAGTTTCCAGTTTTTATTTGTTTGATTTCATATTGTTGTTTCTGTTCTCGTTGTGCTTTCTGGAAATTTAAGATGTAACTTGACAACACACGACCGTTTTTTGTCCAGTCTGAATGTAAAAACGTGAGAAAAAAACCTTCATGAGATCATTTCCCTCGTGTGCACGATCTTATGACGATAAATATACTTTATTATCCTGAAGGAAGTTAGAATTTTAAATCAAAGAAATAATAGATACGATAAACAAAGACAATTAAACCTCTAGAGTAGAGCCCGACCGATATATCGGTTGGCCGATATGCTTGCTGATAGGAGCCGATATTTCCCGTGGGCATGTTACACCTCGTTATAAATCTTAGACTTTCTACATTTTCTTCATTTAATCCAATTTACAGATAAATGTCCAAATATGTAACTCCACATCAGTGTTTATCTGTGGAGTCGTGTCTCTGTCGTGTGTGTGTGTGTCTGTCGTGTGTGTGTGTGTGTGTGTGTGTGTCTGTGTGTGTGTGTGTGTGTGTGTGTGTGTCTGTGTGTGTGTGTCTGTGTGTGTGTCTGTGTGTGTGTGTCTGTGTGTGTGTGTGTGTGTGTCTGTGTGTGTGTGTCTGTGTGTGTGTGTGTGTGTGTCTGTGTGTGCGTGCGTGTGTGTGTGTGTTTACACTCGCAGACACAGATCCATGTGCAACACTGAGATTATTTTCTTTTTATGAACAATTGGTTTGAGTCTGGATTAAAAGGACATTTATTAGACTTGTGATGTGGGAGGAGCCTGTGTGATGTGGGAGGAGCCTGTGTGGTGTGGGAGGAGCCTGTGTGGTGTGGGAGGAGCCTGTGTGGGTGTGGGAGGAGCCTGTGTGATGTGTGGGAGGAGCCTGTGTGATGTGGGAGGAGCCTGTGTGGTGTGGGAGGAGCCTGTGTGGTGTGGGAGGAGCCTGTGTGGTGTGGGAGGAGCCTGTGTGGTGTGGGAGGAGCCTGTGCGGTGTGGGAGGAGCCTGTGCGGTGTGGGAGGAGCCTGTGCGATGTGGGAGGAGCCTGTGCGAGTGTTGAAATATGTCGATTTTGAAGTTGGTTTTGGTTCGGTCTGATTGGTTAGTGATGATCTGTTGTGTCTCACATAATCAGTCTGTTTTCTATTGATCTGTTGTAAAGTGATTATATTGTTTGTATATTTGATACTGAAGCTGCATTGATGTAAATGAGTGTGAACAGACGTGTGAATGATCAACATTTACACATAGAATTAATGACCGCGGTGCAGCATTTACGGCTAAAGGCTAATAGTGCTAGTTTCTTTACTCTCTAGTCGTGATGAGTCGGTCGTGAACGAAGCGGCTCTTCGATCCGGCTCTTTGAAGCGACCGACAGGAGCCTGATCCTTATTGGGAGTCGTGTTTTCTCTTTCTCTCACTTTTTTCTCTTCACGTCGCGTTCAGACTCGTGGGAGTTTGACAGTGGCTCAAAACGAAACTTTCAGAAATCTGCGTGTGGATAAATATATTCAGCATAAAATAAATAAACCAGGACTAATCTTGGGGTCGAGAGACAGAGACCGAGTCACTCAGTCCTGGTTCAGTCCTGGTTCAGTTCTGCTTTAGTCCTGCTTTAGTCCTATGCTGTATCATGTAAAGAGACAGAAGAACAACAAATGTTTCCTAAATAAACCCAGTTTAAAATCCACCAGAGCCAAACCAAAGTTTTTTTAAATAATTCAAGATTTACAGTGAATTTTTACATCACTAAATATATCGGTGATTATATCGGCAGCTCCAACTCCCATTATATCGGTTTCATATCGGCCACAGCAAAATCCACATCAGTCGGGCTCTAGTGTCTGTGCTCTGATATTTGTTCAGATCCAGATGGTTGTAGAAACGTTCTGTTCTGAAAATGGGACGGTTTGTTTGTTTGTTTGTTTGTTTGTTTGTTTGTTTGTTTGTTTTAGTCATTTCAATATTAGTTTTAGGATTTAATGTTTGATACTTTGAGACTCGCACCAGGATTAAAGGATCAGCCTGGTTCGGTTTGTTTTGGTTTTTGTTTTGTGTATTGGGCTGGACCCTCGTGTCCACACCTGTCCCCCTGTCCCTCCGTCCCTCTGTCCCTCTCCTCTCCTCTTCTCTTCTTCTTCTCTTGTGTGTCTCTTGTGTCTTCTGCTCTCGAGTGGTGTCTTTTCTCTGGGTGTAATTGCGTCCCCGTGGGTGGTCCCTCAGGACAAAGACCAAAGAGACGAAGACGAAGACGAGAGACGCTCGAGATGGAACGTTTCCTCCACACAGAGATTTACTGACACAGAGAAAAACTGTTTCACTTTATTACAGAAAACAGAGATGGAGACAGAGGAGGAGGAGGAGGGACAGAGGAGGAGGGACAGGAGGAGAGGAGAGGAGGAGGAGGGACAGAGGAGGAGGAGAGGAGGAGGAGAGGAGGAGGGAGAGAGGAGGGAGAGAGGAGGAGGAGGAGGAGGAGAGAGGAGGAGGAGGGAGGAGGAGGAGGAGGAAGAGAGGAGGAGGAGGACAGAGGAGGAGGAGGAGAGGAGGAGGAGGGACAGAGGAGGAGGAGAGGAGGAGGGAGGAGGAGGGAGAGAGGAGGAGAGGAAGAGAGGAGGAGGAGGAGGAGGACAGAGGAGGAGGAGGAGGAGGAGGAGGACAGAGGAGGAGGGAAGGAGAGGAGAGGAGGGAGGAGGAGGAGGAGGAGGAGGAGGAGGAGGAGGAGGAGGAGGACAGGAGGAGGAGGAGGAGGAGGAGGAGGAGGAGGAGGAGGAGGAGGAGAGGAGGAGGGACAGAGGAGGAGGAGGAGGAGGGACAGTGTTGTTCTTGACTTTTTATATTCAAATATTTCAGTAAAAGTGTTGAAGTTGTTTGTTTTGTAAATATTTCTCTCTCGTTTCGTTGTGGTTTGTGCGTCTTCGTCCTCGTCGTCGTGGTGGTGGTTGTGGGCGTGTGGTTGCCGTGTGGTTGCCGTGTGGTTGCCGTGGCGTCGTCGGGGCAGCTGGTCGCTGGGGAAACCTCTGGAGTACCTTTTGTGTGGGGCTCTTGAGTTTTGCACACCGCTCCGTCTCTGTGATCGGAATCTTAATGTGGCCTCGGAACGCCGGGAAAAACTCACCGCCACCGCGACCACGACCACGACCGGGGTTTAACCGCCACCGCCACGGCCGGGGGGGATACGCTTAGATTAAAGCTCCACTGTGGAACATTCTGCAGGGGCGACAGGACGGACGTTACAGATTCGTCTAAAAAACAGTGAATCTCCAAACTTGAGCTCCTCATGTTTCTGTTTCTGTTTCTAAGATCAACACAAACTCAGAACATTTATCTACTACTTTAAAAAACTCACCTGGAACTCACGACTCACTGGGACTGGACCTGGACTGGACCTGGACTGGGACTGGGACTGGACTGGGACTGGACTGGGACTGGGACTGGGACTGGGACTGGACTGGACTGGGACGTGACTGGGACTGGACTGGGACTGGGACTGGACTGGGACTGGGACTGGGACTGGGACTGGGACTGGGACTGGGACTGGACTGGGACTGGGACTGGGACTGGACTGGACTGGACTGGGACTGGGACTGGACTGGGACTGGGACTGGGACTGGGACTGGGACTGGGACTGGGACTGGGGGACTGGACTGGGACTGGGACTGGACTGGACTGGGACGGGACTGGGACTGGACTGGGACTGGGACTGGGACTGGACTGGGACTGGGACTGGACTGGGACTGGACTGGGACTGGACTGGGACTGGGACTGGGACTAGACCTGGATTGGACTGGACTGGGACTGGACTGGACTGGACTGGGACTGGGACTGGGACTAGACCTGGACTGGACTGGACTGGGACTGGGACTAGACCTGGATTGGACTGGACTGACCTGGACTGGGACTGGACTGGGACTGGACTGGGACTGACTGGATTGGACTGGGACTAGACTTGGACTGGACTGGGACTGGACTGGACTGGGACTGGGACTGGGACTGGGACTGGGACTAGACCTGGACTGGACTGGGACTGGGACTAGACCTGGATTGGACTGGGACTAGACCTGGATTGGACTGGACTGGGACTGCGACTGGGACTGGGACTAGACCTGGACTGGACTGGGACTGGGACTGGGACTAGACCTGGACTGGACTGGGACTGGGACTGGGACTAGACCTGGATTGGACTGGGACTAGACCTGGACTGGACTGGACTGGACTGGACTGGACTGGACTGGGACTGGACTAGACCTGGACTGGACTGGGACTAGACCTGGATTGGACTGGGACTGGACTAGGACTGGGACTAGACCTGGACTGGGACTGGGACTAGACCTGGACTGGACTGGGACTAGACCTGGACTGGACTGGGACTAGACCTGGACTGGACTGGGACTAGACCTGGACTGGACTGGGACTAGACCTGGACTGGACTGGGACTGGGACTAGACCTGGACTGGGACTGGGACTAGACCTGGATTGGACTGGGACTGGGACTGGGACTAGACCTGGACTGGGACTGGACTAGGACTGGGACTAGACCTGGACTGGACTGGGACTGGGACTAGACCTGGATTGGACTGGGACTGGGACTGGGACTAGACCTGGACTGGGACTGGGACTGGGACTGGGACTGGACTGGGACTGGGACTAGACCTGGACTGGACTGGGACTGGGACTAGACCTGGATTGGACTGGGACTGGGACTGGGACTAGACCTGGACTGGGACTGGACTAGGACTGGGACTAGACCTGGACTGGACTGGGACTGGGACTGGACCTTTAAATTCTCCTGACACAGACGAGGCTGAAGTTTGTGTCCGTTTGAGTTTCTTGAGTTCGAGATGAGTCCATAAACCAGGTCCTGACCCCAGATGAAACCTCGGCCCTAAACCTCAGAAACATATAAAAATAATAATAATAATAATAATAATAATAATAATAATAATGATAATGATAATGATAATGATAATGATGATGATGTTGATATTGGTGTGTTTGTGTGTTTGTTGCAG